GTCTCATATAATCTTTCATTTCGACGACATTAAATTTTTGTTTAATAATACGTTTAAATACTTCTAAACCAATTTTATATGAACATGCTTGACCTGGCAAAACTCTATAACGATAAATTTCCGATGTTATAGATGCTTCACTTGTTGTTAAATATTGCTTTGCTAATTCCATAACTTGTTTAGGTGTTTGTCCTTCAACATGTAAAAGAATTTCTGCAATAATACGAAATGTTCGGAAAATATTTGATTGTAAATAACCAAAGTATATCCATGGATCGTTTAACATTGAATCACCTAAATGTTCAGCAAATAAAGCCCATCCTTCGACATAACCATTACATAGTTCAAAATTAAGTGAAGTTAAATAATTATGATTAGGTGAATGATGAGATATATCGAGTTGTAAATGATGACCTGGTATTGTTTCATGTAATGTTAAATTTTCTACTTCATATTTAAAATTTCCATTATTCCAATGACAAACATTTAAATAAAAATTTCCTTTAAGATAGTAACCACCAGCTAAAAGTGGATTATCAAGAACAATAAGACCTGGTGGATTGAATTCTTTAAATTGATTTTGTGTAATAAAAATATGTCGATATTTTGATATACATAATTCATGTGCATCAATCATTTCTTGTTTTGATGACCAATGTTGACTTTGATCATTACCAACAAGTATCATTTTTTCATGTACTGATTTTTTTTTATCTTCATCATTAGTTAATAAACGATTACATGTTTGATTAATTTCTTCCATAAGGTGATCTAAATGCTTTTGTGCCCATTTTTTTATTTGAATAAAATCATTTGATGAATTTAATTTTAAACCCGTATTATTTTCAAATATAAATTGAAAAAATTGTGGATCATATTCTGATAAACCTTGTTCAGGATGTTCTAACCATTTGGGATCTTTTACTAATTCAATTAAAAACATTTTAAGTCGAGTTGTTTCTTGAGTAAATAAATTAAAATATATTTTATATTCTGGTCCAGTACTATCATCAGGTAATGGACTAAAATCAAGATTCGATATAAATTTATCTAATAAAACTTTATTAAAAAATCGAGATGATTTAGAATCCATTGTTTTATATAAATCAATAATATGATCAGTTATTTCAGATAATAAATGTTTTTCACGATAAAGATTAGCAAATGTTGGTTTAGTAATTAATACTGGATTTGATAAAATAAAATAAATTAACAGAAAATAATTCTGAAAATATGTTTGATTTATTTCGTAGAAAAATTTACGACGAGGATCAGTTTCGAAATCAAAATAAAATTTTTCTACTTCAGTAAGTTCATGTTGAGAAGCGTATTCTTGTAATGCTGCTATATATGCATCGAAATTACGATATGCTTTGAATAAATCTAAAGGTGTTATATTATTAACATTAGGCTCCAAATTAAATAATTTTATTATATGTTTATCCATTGCGATTTTGTCAAATCAAATAATCTGAAGAAACAAACAAATATATAGTTTATATTTCAACTGTCAGTTATAGCAATGACTTGTTTTGAAAATTGATTTTAGAGAGTTGAAACTAAAAATTTCAAACGATTTTGATCACAAGGCATGTTTAAATAGATTACTGCACAAGAACTAGAACTTGTGGAAAATTTTTAAGATCCGAACTAAAATGAAACTGTTATACTCTTATTCGAGATAATGAATGAATGAAAAAATTTATGGTAAGATAAATAAATATTGATTTATCACTTATTTTTATCAATCAAAATAAAGAATAAGGATTTGAATTTTCGTTCTTGCAACATCTATATCTTCTGATGTAAACCAAAATAGTTTAATATGAATATTCAACCTTTCTTGTTTTCTCCTTTATTGGATGATACCCTGATGAGTAGTTTAAGCTGTCACTACAGAAATAGGTGTATATGGGAAATTTGACTAAAGAATGTTTCATTCTATCATAAAGAATATCAAGGTCTACTTTAATTCATAGCTCTTCACAATGATATATTTCTATATGTGTGGTTTGACATTATAACGATTATCACCTTCATTATTTATCATGAAAGGAGAAAAAGCTTAGGGAATCGGCTATAATTCATCCTATCGGCTCACATTAGAAGACATGTTTTCGTTTCATATGACTATTCGTCCTTTGACCTTCAACATACAATTTTCTTTTCATAATAACAAGTAAATATTATTTAACTATATTAAATCGTCTACTTGTACTGTAATTTCTTATACTAATCCCAAAATACTTATACCATCACTGTTATTTATATGCGAAAATATTTTCATTGGTTTGATTTAAGATTAAACACCAATTTCGTGTGTGCAAAAATTTTTATTTCTTGTTCGGTAAAAAAAAACCGCTTATTTGTTAACAATCGTATAACATATGAAAAAAATTACTAATTATGTTCTTTTTCTTTTTGTTTCGTTCTTTTGTTATTCATTCTTCATCATTTTCTAAATTAATACTTTTACCAAATTTTCCATATAATTTAACTTTTAAATCACTTAAAATATTTTGAATTGTTTGTATACGTTGTTGTACATCTTCAATGTCTTTTTCAATTTTACTTTTACGTGTATCTAATGATGTTAAAATATTTTCAGTTGGTTCAATAAGAAATGTTTCACCAACAAGTAATGGTGCTGTTGGAACATCAGATAAAATTGATAATTCATCTAGAGCTTCTCTTGCATCCGATAATGATGCTAATTCTTTTCGTTTTGCTTCTAATTCTTCTTTTAATTCCGTTAATTTAGCATTATTACGAGCAAATTTATTGATATTTTGTTGATCAGCATATTCAACATGAACTTCAACGTCTTTTGTTGTCGACATTTAATATATATATAAATCTCTCTCAGTAAAATAAATAAATTGATGAAATAGTGTCTCGAAGAAAACGACAACATAATTGATTTGTTTCTTTTTCTAACCAATGAAGTTTGAGTCATGTTGAATATGTTAAGGAAGACGACATCTAGACACAAATTTATCTTATTAATGTACTTCAACATACTTGAAAAAGATCAGTTGTGTAAAAATGTCCGAAGAAAAAAAAATATAGACTCACAATCTTCAGTACTTGCTGATATACTGATAAAAAGCAAAAGGATCTTTCAAACTGTTGGTCCTCCACGTCATTTTTGTTTTCTTTCTTTCTTGTTTCGTTACTACCATAAAATAGTATCCTATATTCTCTTTTATCTTCGGCGTATAAACAATATAAAAGAAGCGTAACTGATATAGAATATTCATGATTTCGTTACGAAACAATGACCGCATAGATAGTAGCTCGATGTACTTTGCCTCTCTCGTATTCTTCTTCGGTGAAGTTTAGTTTTCTTCTTGAGAAATTTTCTTAGAGTGGAATAAGACTGAAAGTAATTAATAAAAAGAAAAAAGAAAAAAGAGAAAATCATATCCTACAAGATGTGTCTTCTAAGATTTGTGACTCTCAAGTGATATTTGCTATTAATAACTATATCTATTCAAGCACTCATAATGAAAAAAAAGCGTTTTAAAAAATACATATATAATTTTTCTTCTTTCTTTTCTATTTTAGATCTGTATTAGCAGCGGTTGAATAAGAAAATGTCGGCAAAAATTGGCAAACCAGCACCTGATTTCAAGGTCACATCTGTCGTTGACGGAAATTTTAAAGAAGTTTCACTTCAAGACTATAAAGGCAAATATGTAGTACTCTTCTTCTATCCACTCGATTTTACATTCGTTTGTCCAACAGGTACAAACATATTCAAAATTGATCAATAGAATAAAATACTAGAAATTTTTATTTAGAAATTATTGCCTTCAGTGATCGTATTGAGGAATTTCGTCAAATCAATTGTGAAGTATTAGCTTGTTCAACTGATTCTCAATTTAGTCATCTTGCTTGGTATGAAATTGAAAATTTTTCTGTTTTTCTTCATTATTTTAAATAAATAAATACATATTTTTTTCTAGGGTTAATACAAATCGAAAACAAGGTGGTCTTGGAAAAATGAATATTCCATTATTGGCCGATAAGAATATGGAAATTTCTAGTAAGCCTTCTAGTCATATTTTATATAAATTTAAATAAAGAAAATTTCCTCTTTAGCTAAATATGGTGTATTAAAAGAAGATGCAGGTATTGCCTTTCGTGGTTTATTTATTATCGATACTCATGGAACTCTACGACAAATAACAATAAATGATTTACCAGTCGGTCGTTCAGTTGATGAAACACTTCGATTGGTTCAAGCTTTTCAATTTACAGATAAACATGGCGAAGGTATATTTTTATATTCAATCGATTTTTTTATTCATTTTATTTTAATCTAGTATGCCCAGCAAATTGGAAACCAGGCAAGAAAACAATCAATCCTGATGTATCAAAGTCCAAAGAATATTTTGAACATACAAACTAATGAATCTCATTAACTTATTGAAAAGGGTTTTCATATGTTCCTTTCTTTTCATAAGTCCCGGTATTTCATCTTCTATTCTCTTGATCTAATAAACGAACAATGTAGAGCAGTAGAAAATATCTTAGATTTAAGAGCAAAGACTACATGAAATCGTATCGCTTGATTAGAAAAACAAAATAGTGCATGGTTTGTTTATTAATGTTATCTTATTTAAAAAAAAAATAAATCCTCATCCCATATTGTGTTTGACACACACATTTATTATCTTATCTTTTATTATGTGTTGATTGAGGGTAATTTGATAGACATATGAAAGTTTTTATATTTGTCTTGAGAAAGTATTTTTTGAACTGTAGGAAATAAAATTTGATGAACTAGTTGAGATACAATCATTTCGATATCAGATTGATTTGATCTATATATAAATATATGTAAATCAATGAAAAAATATTGATTTAAACTATAATTATCATACAAGGAATTATTTATTTCATCGGTTA